GTTTGACTGTATATATTATGGTACTATTCGATTGTATATATTATGGTACTATTCGATTGTATGTATCATGGTACTATTCGATTGTATATATTGTGGTACTGTTTGATTGTATAATGGTACTATTTGATTGTATATATATATTATGGTACTATTTGATTGTATATATATTATGGTACTATTTGATTGTATATATATTATGGTACTATTTGATTGTATATATATATATTATGGTACTATTTGATTGTATATATATATTATGGTACTATTTGATTGTATATATTATGGTACTATTTGATTGTACATATTGTGGTACTATTTGATTGTATATATTGTGGTACTATTTGATTGTATATATTATGGTACTATTCGATTGTATATATTGTGGTACTATTTGATTGTATATATTATGGTACTATTGGATTGTCTATATTATGGTACTATTTGATTGTATATACTATGGTACTATTCGATTGTATATATTGTGGTACCATTTGACTGTATATATTGTGGTACCATCTGATTGTATATATTATGGCACTATTTGATTGTATATATTGTGGTACTATTTGATTATTTACATCATGGTACTACTTAATTATTTACATCATGGTACTATTTGATTGTATATATTATGGTACTATTTGATTTTATATATTATGGCATTATTTGATTGTTTACATTATGGTACTATTTGATTGTATATATTGTGCAACTATTTATTTGTATATATTATGGTACTATTTGATTGTTTATATTATGGTACTATTTAACTGTTTATATTATGGTACCATTTAAATGTGTATATTATGGTACCATTTAAATGTGTATATTATGGTACTATTTAATTGTTTATATTATGGTACTAAACAGACAGAAGAGTGCTTATGCTCAATGACTAGAAATACAAAAGATCAAATGTTCACACTGATTAACATTTTCAAGCTTACTTCATCTAGAAGCTCCTGCTTTTCCTCTGCAAACCTCTTTAACTGAAAATCTGTAACAACAAAATAATGTTGGTTATCTACCAAAGTATAAACTATGTATTTATGTAGTGGTATTGAACTTCAAAGTACTCTTTTTTACACTGATAATATTACAAATGTATTACAGTGCGATATCAGGTGGTATTAGATAAAGTGAACATTACAAGTCATCTATGATATTATACAATCATCTGAGTTATCTATGACATTAGATACAATAATAATCACAAGTTATCTATGACATCAGATACAGTGATCATTACAAGTTATCTAAGACATCAGATACAGTGATCATTACAAGTTATCTATGACATTAGATACAATAATAATCACAAGTTATCTATGACATCAGATACAATAATAATCACAAGTTAACTATGACATTAGATACAATAATAATCACAAGTTATCTATGACATCAGATACAATAATAATCACAAGTTATCTATGACATCAGATACAGCAATAATCACAAGTTATCTAATGACATCAGATACAGCAATAATCACAAGTTATCTAAGACATTACTTACAGTGATCATCACAAGTTATCTAAGACATTAGATACAGTGATCATCACAAGTTATCTATGACATCAGATACAGTAATAATCACAAGTTATCTATGACATCAGATACAATAATAATCACAAGTTATCTATGAAATCAGATACAGTGATCATCACAAGTTATCTATG